TTAAAAAAACACCTAAACATTCAACTTTTTGTGTGTCAAGTGGTATGTTGAATGCAGCACTGGTCCAAATTAGATGTTTGTAAAGTCTATAGTTTTGTATGAATTAGAAACTCAAATTACAGATATTAATAAGAATGTCATATCTTTTCTATTTGCTAAGATATTGCTCATGTAATGAATCGAACACAGTGGCCACACTCACCTCTTTCCATTTTTGAAAACAGTCCCATATATACACTTCTATATATATGACATGTGAATAACCAATCAAAAGCTCAGAATGTTCCCCTAATGGCTTTCTTAGCCATTTTCAAATACAGCATCATATCTTTCTTCTGAGACAAACCTTTGTGCTGGTAAGTTGAGTCTTTAGCTAATATCAAAATTTTATATTTTTTTAGACCCAAATACAGCTTATTTACTAAACTTGAACAATTATAGTATCAACATAGTAGTTTATGATTTTCTGGGTATTTAAATGTATATATAAAACCTTATAAAATCCTTTCATTTCACATCCTCCATGTGTAAATTTTAAAGGCTTAGCAACCTACATCAAGCAGCAACCGAATACAAAGGTCGTAACTAGAAAAGATAATTGTTTGTTTTACTTCTTTATCTACTGTTCTATGTTTTAAGAAAAATAAGTTTAAGAACTTATTTCAAAGTAGCAATAATATATATACATATGTAATGTATGATAATTGAAATGTTACTGTATTTTGCAAAATACTAGTCCACTAAGACACAGCCAAGACAGGTCACTTTGTAAAGACTAAAGGTCAGTTTTATATTACTGGATACAGTAACATGAGTGTACATGTGTCGCGTCATTGTAACTTCTGTATTGTTAGCCAGGCACAGCTGAAAGGTCAATATAATAAAAATAATAAATATATATATAAAAGTATAATGTAATGAGATTTAACCTATTTAGTTTAAACATTTATGTTTTTATGTTATAATCTGTAGCCATTCTAGAACGAAAAAGGCATAATTTATACTTATTTCCTAATTTTTCTATGGTGGTTATGAGACCAGTCAAATTGACCGAACCCATACAGATATTTGTTAGTGAAAATAAGAAGAAAAAATAATAAAGTTTTTACATAAGAAATGTTTAGATAACTATTAC